TAAAATGATAAAAACAGACAATGGGCCAGGATATACTGGAAAAAATTTCCAGTCATTTTGTCAAAGCCTTGGTATTAAACATGTCACAGGCATTCCTTATAACCCACAGGGCCAGGGAATTGTCGAACGGGCTCATCAAACACTTAAATCAATGATCCATAAACTAAAAAAGGGACCCTTTAATGACTCTCGCAGCACCCCACGAAGTATCCTCCATCATGCCCTCTTTGTACTCAATTTTCTGACTCTGGACAGTGACGGAAAAGCCGCCACAGATCGCCTTTGGCACCCCATGACCCAACATCAACATGCCTTGGTCAGATGGCGGGACCCACTCACGTCACAGTGGAAAGGACCCGACCCAGTCTTGATATGGGGCAGAGGCTCCGCTTGTGTCTATGATCAAGAAACTGAAAACCCCCGCTGGCTTCCTGAAAGACTACTTAGACAAAACAACAAAGCTAACAATTGCACTTAAAAACCAAACAAACCTCCTGAGATAAGATTGTTAATTACACCTAACTCAGAAAACAAACAAACAAAAAAATCCTTTGAGGTATTTCTATCTCTTCTTTCTTTCAGAATGTAATATTTCAGGTGGAAGGTTTTCATCACTGTCCTGGCTGCTGCAACAATTACAATTGTCATCTCCGTCATCATGCTAATTATTCTAGACTTCCTAGAAGAGCTCCAGAAAAGCTAAGATGTGGACACCCCCACTTATAAACAGAAAAGGGGAAGATGTGGGAGACCATGCTGCCTGGCAGCCCTCCCTGCCCCCCAGGGGAAGCAGCCTCCAGAGAACTTGCTGATCAGTCCTCCCTGCCCCCTAAGATAAGCAACCTTTCCGATGATTCAAGATAAGCCTAAGCAACCACCAATTTCCTTATCCTGCAACCAGACTACAGTGCGAGTTCCCCTCATCCTAAGGGACATTCATTAACCCATTGAGACAACACCTTCCCTTCCCCTTCCCCAGCTAATTTCCCGCTTCAGCCCGTATAAGAATCCTGTGGATAAATAAACTTTTGCAGCTTGATCAGAGTTCTTTGTCTTGCTGTCATTCTTAGTGTCTCTTGTCCCATCATTCCAGGTCCCTGGGAGTTCGAGTCTCTGTCTCCTGCCCTGCAGGCCAGGGCAACTGGCACCCAGAACGTGGGGCTTGAAGCCCCCAGGATAGCCTGGAATGTCGCTGATTGTATGGGTCGGCCCACACGACAGCACTGAGCCACCGCAGCCTGAGAAAGGTTAAGAACTGGCTCGCATAAGAATCACCACAGCCTTACCCAGCTGAACTACAGATTCAGAGGGAGATTTCTTATAAAAATTTCAAAAAATATTTATGAAGTTATTTGTTCTAGGGAACAAAAATAAAGCAAAAATGAATTGTATGACAGTAGATTTGGAATAGTATTAAAAATGGGGTTGTGGCTGTAGCTCATCTGGTAGTGTGCTTGCCTAGCATGCACAAAGCCCTGGGTTTGATTCCCAGCACCTCATAAAACCAAGCATGGTAGCACACACCTGTAATCCTAGCACTCGGGAGGTGGAGGCAGGAAGATCAGAAATTCAGTTATCTTCAGCTATAGAGCGAGTGGGAGACAAGCCTGGACTACAAAAGACCCTATCTCAAAAATAACCAGCAACAACAAAACAGCGCCCCACCCCCAAAACAGCCAATGCAGGCTGTTAAGAGGAGCAGTGGGTCGCTTTCCCAACGACATTCCAAGGAAGCCCAAGGTTCCTAATAAGTCATGTGTGTAAAAGGTAACCATTTCACAATATTTCACAGGTTGAGTAAATAACTCTTTATCACACTGCCTGGAATTGCACCCTGTTGCAATACTGCATCAACATTATCACATTCTCCAAAATCTGTATAAAATATTATCTGGACCCACAAAGGAAAATCAGTTAATCTTTAAATATTTTCATTACCAAGTTGACAGTATAAAATGCCGAAACGTAATGCATATATACAAAATACTGTTGTTTAAGAAAATAATGAGACCCAGTTTTAGAATAAAATAAGTTTATACAAAAAGAGGTTATTGCATTCAAATCCATATTTAAAAAAAAAATTTAGAGAGAAAGAACATTGAAATGTGTCTGTTTAGAAGAACAGCTCTCGGCGTTCGTGCTTTCATAGGACCAATGGCTCTGTAGGCGGGACAGAGTCATCTGAGAGAGAATGGCCTTGAAGCTCAAGAGTCATCGATGGGATGGGTACTTGGAGGCCCAGTCCATCCTGCCTTGCACGGGCTGGGCAGCTGGAGGCCGTGGAATCAGCCCAGGAGTGCTTCTAGGCTGGGTGTGGAGAAAAGGCCGCCCAGGATGAGGTCTCACAGCCTTCAGGGAAGAGTAACCTGCAATGGAAGAGAAACACTAAATGGACTGGCAGGAGACCCAAGCAAGCAAGGAGCAGTTGCATGCAGTGAGTGCAGTGACAAGAAAGTCTGAAAACACGACGCGGGCAAGAGCATCTGCAGCCCGTCTCTCCTTCCTCAGTTAAGGAGAAACCCCGCAACTAGACTCGTCTGACCAAAACTACTCGTGTTCTCCTTGACCTTCTTCTCTTACTGACAATCTGTCAGAATCCTGTTGGCTCTACATCCCATATACACTCACCATCTGGTGAAGTTTTTACCAGCTGCTACATCCCTGGTCCAGGCCACAGGGTGGGTCTCGCTTCTAACATTGTTTGCATTCTAATGAAAGCAAGCAGCCCCAGGGAGTCTACGGAAATGGCGTTCAGATCCCTTTGCTCCTCTTCAGTGGCTCCAAAGATGTTCAGCAACAACATGCTCCAGTGACCTGCTGCAGAGTCAACCCCGCCCCCGCCCCCTGCAACCTCAGCCTGTCCTCATCCATGATCTCCTCTCAAGACTCTCCCTGTCTCTCTCTTGCCCTACCCACACAACATTCTCGCAGGTGCCTTCCTTACCACTTCCTGAATTTGTCAGGCCTGACCCGCCCCAAAGCCTGTGCACTCAGGAATCCTAGACACTCGCACTAGGTGCTTGCCCCTCAGCGCCTTCAGATCTTTAGTCATTGACTCCTTTGGGGTGAACCTTTTTGGGCTTCAATCCCCATTCCCCAAGACGTCACTTCCTGCCTATTTATATTTTCCTTAGCATTTGTAAGCATCAGATTTAGTCTATATTTATACATATTCAACTCACTTTAAAAAACTTTTTTAAATTATTTTTATCTTATGTGTATGAGTGTTTTGCCTGCACATATGTAAGTGCACACCACCTGAGCGCAATGACCCAAAGAGGCCAGAAGAGGGTGTCAGATCCCTCTGGAACTGGAGTTACAGATAGTTGTTAGCTGCCACATGAGTGCTGGGAATCAGACCCACAGCAAGTGTTCTTAAACACCAAGCCAACCTCCAGCCCTCAATTCAATTCTTGTCTACAGACTGCACATTCACTGAGGCCAAGTTATGCCTATCTCACTCTGTCTACACCATTCCTGACACAAAGCAACTGTTCGGTGACTTTTGGATTGACTCATACTTTGTAGTAGGACTTACCAGGGGAAGGGTCTGGAATAGGTGCCAGGTGCACCCTCTGCATAGCAGAACCAATTTCTTTTTTCAAAAAGGAAGGGATATAGCTTCCAGTCAGTCTGCTAGAACTCGTAGAGCCAGACCCAACTGATAGGCAAAAGCGAAAGCCTATTACTACAAAGATATATTCTACGACATCAATACACAATAATAAGTTTCTACTTTTAGGAGGAAAATGAATCACAGTGAGAACAGTGACTTCTGAGTAGAGCACTGCATGTACCACTGCTAGGGGCAGGATGGGCAGAGAAAGCAGTTCACACACACAGCAGCTAAGCAGATGGATGCCAAACCAGAGAAGGTGCATGGCTGTTCCCCTGTCCTTTGCTAAAAAGAGGGTTAGCCTGTTCTAAAACTTTTCCTACCCCAGGCTATAGAAGAGCCTTTCACATCAAATGCTGAAGGATAACTGAACATGACTTACTTAACTGATTCTCTTTATGATTCAAAACACGTAGCTGTTAAAAATAGACAATAAATATTCTTATTGATAATCAGAAAAACTCAACTAACCATTCATAAAAATGTCGTTAAAATTTTGTACTTATTTTAGCTGAGCATGGTGGTACATGCCTTTAATCCCAGTACTAGAGAGGCAGAAGCAAGCAGATCTCTGTGAGTTCAAGGCCAGCCTGGTCTTCATAGTGAGTTTCAAGCCGGCTAGGGCTATAGGGAGATCCTGTCTCAAAGAGACCAAAAAAAAAGTAACACAATACTCAAGGATGAAAAAGGGCACATTAAAGGAACACCATTATTTCATGAGATTACCCAAAATTGGGTTGATTCAAGCAATGAAAAAAAAAAAGTATATCGTACAACATGAAAATCTCAGCCTACAGGCTGTAGAGAACTGGCTCAGTGGTTAAGAGCACTGGCAGCTCTTGCAGAAGATGCAGGTTTGATTCCCAACACCCACATGGTACCTAACAACTGTCTGGAACTCCAGTTACAGGGGATTTGACACCCTCTTCTGACCTCTGAGAGCACTGAATGACATGGGTGCACTCACATACATCCAGGTAATACAGTCATACATATAAAATAAAAATAATAAAAAAAATATTTTTTAAAAAAGAAAATTTCTGCCTAAATGATGATGTTAAGGGAAGCGAGGAAGTAAAAGCTTCTGTTCTGTAGAGGAATCAGTGACCAGTTAGTGCCCATTAAAGATAAAATTACAAAACTCCCAGTTTTCTAGTAATTCATTCTGATAAGGATTCTAACGGATGCTGAAACCCCAAGGGAGTCTCTGGGTATCACCCATGGGTTACTTAATCATGACGAAGGGAAAATGTATCTTTACAATGGAAACGTCAGGGTGCATACCATCTCTCTAACCCTTACACTTAGTTCCGTATGGGGGACATTTGGCTGTGCTGCTCCTCCTGTTGCAACACCTGTGAAAACCATTACCAAAAAGAGCTCACCGAAGTCCAATCACAGGGTAGAAATCAGGCATATCGAAGACAGGAGACATTCTGTGCGTGAATGGCCTGGACTCAAGAGTCAAGGACATGGAAAGAAAAAAGGAGGAGGTAATATTCTCAGCAAAAAGACGAGAGGAAGCGATCAAACAACAGTCTCTTGGTTAGAACGAGATAATGGGAAATCATTACAACTGCTAAACAGGTGCACAGCAGTTTACACAGACACATGGTGAACAGCAGGAACACGGTGAGTATGGATTGCACATCAGATGTTACAAGCTTTCTTAGTGGTAACGACGAGTGCGTGCAGTGGCCAGAAGAGGGCACTGGATCTCAGAACTGCAGTTAGATTTACAGGATGTGTGGCTCACTCTCTGTACATGATGGGGTCCAAACTCCCATCCTCATGATTACACAGCAAGCGCTCCTAATGCTGAGTCATCTCTACAGCCCCGATTATTTTTTATCTTTTTTTTTTTT